ACTTTCAACCGAATAGTTTCGATCAGTGAGCACACTCACGGACTCTTGGTTCTGTAAACTCGCCACCTTTGCCATGAGGTTGCGCTGAAAGCCCGCGTCGCTGGAAGAGGCCCAGCCTTCGCGCCCCAGAAGGCCGTCGTGCCATGGCTCTGCGCCCGCGCCTTGGGCAGTGGCAATGGGCGGCGCAATCGACTCCACGTGCGCACTGGCGCGTCGATCAAGGCGATCAAGCGATGGCCGCCCGGAGACTTCGGGAGGCTGACAAGGGCCGCGCACAGCCGCGCGTCAGGCCAGAAGCAAAGGCTCACTCGCACCCGAGGTAGAGCTCCGCCAGCACCTGGAGGCCTATGTCCGCGACAACCTCTAGGGCGCGCGGCATCTGCAGCATCTCGTCGTCATGTAGTGGCCAAAACTTGGCCCTGTGCTGGCGGCCGGCACCGGCCACGTGGCGCGGCTGCCCCTCGTTGACCGCGCAGCGCAGGGTCTTCTGGAGGTCGCGGACCTCGGCGCACTCGCGGGCGGCAGCGGCCCCGTTGACGAAGGCCTTGGTCGCCCAGTCGGTCCACTCCTGCGCCTGAACCTGGCTGATCACCCCGATGACCTTCTCGGCCTTGGCGATGGCCTGATCCGCGCGCAGCTCGAAATTGACTGCATTGAAAACAGCGCGCAGATCCTGAAGGAGTTGCCGGTCCTCGGCGCCCAGCAACGCGCGCGCCCATCGCGCCTTCTGAACCCTGGCAAAGAAGCCCTGCATATCCCAAGCCAACCTAGCCACGCGAGCGGCCTCCTTGTCCTCCTCCACCGCAAATAATCCGCATTGGCACCAAGCGTTGGGAAAGAGCCCGGCAGGGGAGATCTCCTGCTGCTCCTGCGTGAGACGCTGTAGGCGCAGAAGCATGCGTTGGTAGGTGGAACGGAGATGCCTAAACCAACGCCCATGAATCTTGTAGGCCCGCAACCTGCGCGGAGCTGGCGGCTGCGCGGGCTTGGCCAACTTCCACTCCCAGCGTGGAGGTCCCGTAGAACTGATGTGTGTTGGCCCGCACCTTGTGGTTGACGGTGTCCTGGCGGTCGAGCAGCTCCCCCTCTGGACATTGAATCGTAGTATCCCATGCCACTGCAAGGTCCTCTGGCGCGCGGGCAGCAGCGACGAGGCCACGCGCCAGCTGCCGGGCCTTCCACGGGGGAAAGCGCGCACGGCCAGGCTTCGGAATAGGTGGAAGCCTCTGAGGTTGTCGCGGCACACGCGCCCATCTCCGATGGCATGTGTAGCGAAGCGAGAGCTGGACAGGCAGGTGGGGGAAAGTGCTCGCGCCTTCCATGACGTGCATGCCCTGCTGCCATGTAACCAGAGAAGCTGCAATACCAAAGTCATCACGGACTGTACCAGGCGTGGCAACATGACATGTTCGTGCACCCGTGTGGACTCCAACTCCATGCAGAGAGTTGAGCCTAGGTAGGACGATGTCTGGGTCCATGTTTCAATCGCCCCCTGTGAGCCACGGCATGTGCTGCGCATTGAGGCCAGCGATATAGTCCGCCAGCCTGCGCAGCACAGACATATTGCCATCGCTGAGGCCCTCGGAGTCAATGAGGTAGATCGAGATCACCACTAGACCACCTGAGGGCCGACAGCGCACGCGCGAAACCAGCGCACTGCCCTGAACAACCTCAGGCGCCGATCAGTCTGGTCCAAGTCTGGCGCGAATCTGTGACAGAGCGATGACGGCAAAACCTCCATATGTGCCTCCCCGCCCAATGCTGGGCGCTGCCGCCCAGACCCCGGTGAAGCCCGAACGGGAGGCAGCATGAACAACGTCGGGTAGCCGCTCAGCATCAGCATGGTGCTCCTGAAGCCGCACAACAGTGCCAGCGCGCGCAGGCATGCTGAGGACGTCGCCGATGACGCCACGAGACGACACGCTGACCGTGGTCAGCGAGACAAGCGCGGCCCCACAACAGAGAAATCGATTCCTCACCAGTCGTGGGATCCGTAATCTTGACCGGGTGTGGAAACGACAGGGTGAACAGACAGCGGCTCTGGCTTCCGTAGATTCGCGAGGCGTGACCCTGGGGCACGGCCATCATTAAGGTCAGCATGCGCCAGACCACCATGCGAGACCGTCAACAGAGCTTGTCTGCCACCACTGCCACTGCTCGACTGCAGGTGCACCGCAAGTCGAGAGACGTGCACATATAGAAGCCATACGCACTGTGGTGTCAACATGCAAGGCCGCACCCATGTTACGGGTGCCTTCGAGTAGGTAGCAACGGCTCTGGTTCCTGTCGCCTTGCTGGGTGCGGCCCTCTCGGAGGGAAGGTCCGTCATTCTAGCCGGCATGCGCAGGGCTGCCCAGCAATGAGGCCAGCGTCAGAGCTTGCACCTGACTCGGAAAGGACATCGGAGCAGACTGAATACACGACGAGCTTCCCATCAGGTGCCCACTAGTACCCAGTGTAGTCAGGAGCAGCACAATCAAAACTGGCCAACAAGCTGGTGCACGATGGCAGCCCCTGGAGCCACCTCACGCATTGGGCTTCCTGCGCTTGGATGCCCAGCTCTGCGCCGCCTCGCCGATCCGCTTCACCGCTTCCCGCATCTGGGAGTTGACATGAGGAAGGTAGCCGCCTGCGGGAAGGAGCGCGACTCGTCGATGTCGTCGGTGTCCATAGGGACTGCGCACGCCTGGGCCTCCGCCTGCCGCTCGGCTGTGGGCGTGCCGGGGGCTGCGGTGCCGCCTCCAGCCTCCGTCGGCGGCGGCGACACGTCGGCTCGAGCTTCATCACGCTGCTGCTGGCTCTTGTTGGCCAGCTCGCGCACTGAAACACAACAGGAGGTGACACTGCCAAACAGAACGGCATCCGCCCCGAGCCCTTTGAGCATCTCCCCGAGCGCCTCCACGGGGAGGTCGAGCGCAAGCACCGTCGCCTACATACTGAACTGTCCAGGCACAGCGGTGGGCGCTTTGGCAGAGACCTGCCAGCGCTGGGCCTCAAGCTCCTGGATGTCTGCGTCGAGGCCCGCGAGCACCTTCTCCGCGTCGGCGATGGCGGCGTCAACCCGCTCTCGTTGCTGCTGGAAGCTGGCGAGCTTTTTCTGCTGGTGGGAACGCTGCTTCTCGAGGGTTTCGATGCGTGACGTGTAGTGATGCAGCTGGCCAGCAAACGGCTTGCCTCGCACAATATTCTCCTTGATGGCGTCCCTCTCAAAGATGAGTGTCTCCCTGGCGACCCGCAGGGAAGCCTCCTTGGGGTCGTCGCCCAAGAGCTTGAGGGCGCTCGCGATCTCCATGAGCCGCTTCTGGTCGGGATCCTCAGCATCGCTGCCCTCCACGCCTGCAGCAGCCGAGGTAGTGCTTCTTGCCTGTAGCTGCTCGCGCAGGCGTGCGATCTCCAGGTCCTTTTCCTGGAGCTCATCCCGTTGCTGCTGCTTGGCGCGGGCCTGCTCTGATCTGGGCGCCCGAAAACTCGGGCTGGTGGACACGGCTTTGGCACCTCCAAAACTGGCGCCCTTGTTGACGGAGCAGAAGGCACACGATGTGAGGTCGCCGCGATTCCACCACTTGTCGCCTGAGCGGGGACGAAGTCACCACTGACAGTACGAAGGGCCCGGCCAAGCCTGTCTCTGCTTCCCTCCGCCCGACTTGACAAGCGAGCGAGAAGAAGAACCATGGAGGAGGAGGAGGAGGAGGAGGAGGAGGAGGAGGAGGAGGAGGAAGGGACGCTGAGCCTCTCTGGCCACGGAGAGCCTCGGCCACGAAGGGGATCCCCGGCCGGCCTCGACCGGAGAGGGGCGGCCCGAAGGCCGGGGCCAGGCCCCTCGGCAGGAGAAGCCTCCCTGCCCGTCGCGGCGCGGCAGAGGCGATCCGCTCGCGCGTCGAGCAGCCCGGGCTGCGGCACTGCGAACCGTCCCGCGTGCAAGAGGAGGGGGGGAGAAAGAAGAGAGGCGGCCGCAGAGATTGAAGAGTACGGAACGTGAAAACGACCACAGCCACTGCTTTTCTTTTGTTGCCGCCATCCAGCTAGCAAAAACAAAGCAGTGGTTGTGGTCATTTTCGTTAAGCTTGGCACCAAGGCAATGACCACAACCACTGCTTCTTTCTCGGCCGGCTGGGAGGCGGCGCAAACCAAAAGCAGTGGCTGTGGTCATTTTCCCGTCCCGCAGAGAGAGAGGGAGGGCGCACTCGCCCCTCCCCAGGGGAGCACGCGGGGACATGAACACAAGAGCTCGAAGATCCGCGCGGACGTCTCGGATCGGCGCAGGACCCCCATCCCTGGAGCGCGAAGCGCGCCGGGGTCGGCGCCGGAAGCGCCGCCCGGGGGTCACAGCGCCGATCCGAGAAACCCGCGCGGACCTTCGAGCCGTTCTGTTCATGTCGTGGTTGGTTCCCCTGCTCCTGAGCCCGAGGTGGACCTCATTTCGGCGTCTTGACTGCAGAAGCGAAGGGGCTCCTTTGGCCACGGCGAGCCTCGGCCACGAAGCGGGTCCCCGACCCAGGCCAACAGGGGACGGTACAAAAACCGGATCCCCTCCCGAGCCCGAAGCGACCTTCTTTCGGCGTCTTGACTGTACGGCAAGTTCGTGCGGCGTCGGCGCGCGAAAAGGTTTGTGATGTCGCGTCGATCCTTCGACTTTGAACCGATCGCGGCCCCGATCGTTCAGGGTCGAAGTCCATCGGGTCCAGGGGCATTAGCGTGTCCCTCGGTGCTTCCGCGTCGTTTCATCATTCGGCGTTCAACCGTGAATGAAGGGGCCCCAGGACACACAAATAAATACACAAAAATAAAAAGATTCCACATATTTTCCTATATTGTCTGGGTTTCTGTCTTCCCCACCACTTCCCATAGTTTCCCATATTTTCTGGGAAATCGACGATTAATTGTGTCTGTGTGTTTCTTCCCCTCCTGAATCGCCGCGCGAACCCGCCGTGCAAGTGAAGCGACGAAGATGCATTCGAAGCAGGAGAACGGCCGGGGAATCCGCCGTCGGGCGGCCGGTCCTGCACCGTGCGCGATCCTGCAAAGAGGATCGGGGGCAGCGCCATGGAGTTGAGCCGTCCTCCCCGCCTCGCGGAGGTCGCCCGAGGCGTTGGCCTCGCCCGCCCCCTCTCGACAGGCAGGGAGGTCTCCCTTCTGGTGCGTCTCCTGATGAGGTGGTCGGGGGGAAGCGCGCTCGCTCGCTCGCCTCGCGACGTCGACCGAGGCTCGGGATCTTGCCTCCGCCCCCCTCGCGAGGAGCTTTCCCCGTTTTGAAGAGACAGCGCCTCGCGCCCTCTCCTCCTCTCCTCTCCTCCTTCCTCCTCCCATACCTGCCTCTGCCCTCGGCATGTCGACCATTTTGGCATACCCCTCACGCGCTTCGCGACCCCATGGGGAGCTCCTCCGAATGTCCCAGAGGGAGCGTTCGCATGTGGGCGTCACGCCCGTTTCGGCGCACCCCTCAGGCGCTTCGTGTCCCCAATGGGGAGCTCCTCCGAAGGTCCCAGGGGGAGCGTTCGCATGTAGGCGTCGCGCCCGTTTCGGCGCACCACTCACGCGTTTTGAGATCCCAGAGTGAGCTCCTCAAAAGGCCCCAAGGGGAACGTTCGCATGTGGATGTTACGCCCGTTTCGACAGGCACCTTACGCGTTTCGTGACTCCATATCTGCGAATACCCCCCCTCGCCCGCACACGCCCGCACACATGCACAGCAGCAGACAACGTCCACATGAATACTCGCACCATACCGCATACCACACACACAATAACACGCACACACACACAAACAGACACACAAACACACACACACACAAAACAAACAAACAAACAGACAAACAATCAAACAAGCAAACGAACAAGCAACCAACCAGCCAATCAACCAAACAGCCAAACACACAAACAAACGACGCATACGCTCGCACCGCGTGGCACGCGGGCCACCACGTGACAGGCGTGGCACCTTCTCGGCACCATCAGGGGCGCGCAAAGCGCGGTTACCGTATCCGGCCCACGCGCGCAAACCGCGGTTAGCGATGTCTTTTCCAGAGGCCTGATTGGGTGCGCTGGCGGGGCGGGGAGTATCTGTCGAGCGCTCGCTCAGCGGGGCAAGCGTGCATCTTATCCGACGACGCAGAGCGCGTGCGCAGGGTGGGGGCCAGATCCATCCCACGCTCGCGAAGCGCGGAAATGAAGGGGTCCTTGGAAACACATATAAATTGACACAGTGCTGGATTCCCAAGACGTTCACAAATATTTTCTGGGTTTCCGTTTTCCCCCCTTCCACTTCCAATAGTTTCCTACATTTTCGAAGGAATCGACAATTAGTTGTGTCTGCGTCCTTTTTTTCTCCTGAAGGAAACGCGACACCTCCCCGTCGCAACAGGGGCTGCCAGAAAGTGAACGCCGCATCCGCCCGGCACTCGAAAAGCGCGGCCGGCCTGGCACTCCCTCGGCGCCAGAGGATGTGCGCAAGGGGCGGGCGCCCTCTCTGCCCCACGCTCGCGAGGCGTAGCAGGCGCGGCACCATCTCAACGCCAGAGTTAGGGTCGGGCGTGCCCCCATAAAGATTAAGATGTGGATGTATATGTATATATATAAACGTATATATATATATATACACATGTGTATTTTTGTTATAAAAAAACAATATCCGAAACATGCTCAACAAATACTCCAACAACAAGTTCCCATCATACTGTAGACATGCCCGACTCAACGCCAGAGGGGACGCGCGGGGGGTGGGTGCCGCATCCGCCCCGCGCCTGCGCAAAGCGGCAAGCGCGGCCACTTCTCGACGCCAGAAAAAGTCGCGCAGGTTGCGCGCGCGCCCCGCCCGCCCCGCGCCCGCGCACCGTTGCCAGCGGGGCGTCCTTCTTGACGCCGCAAGGGGCGCGTAGGGGATGGGCGTCGCATCGAAGCACGGCACACGCGGTACTTTGTCGACGAAGTGGATGCGCCCAGGGCGCACCGCGTCCGCCCCGCGCTCGCGGGGCGCGGCAGGCGCGGCACCTTGTCGACGCCAAAGGGGGCGCGCGAAATGGATGCCGCACCCGCCCCGCGCTCGCGAAGCGCGGCGCTCGCAAAACGCCGCAACTGGTCTTCGGCATTTTCACCAACGGCTCCGCGCGCCGCGCATGGACCTGGGTTCCGCCGGAACATCCAAAGACGCGCCCTAACCAAACTCGCCCTGCGCGGGGACCTCGCGGCCGGACTTGGCGCAAGAGTGAGGTCGGGCATGTCCTCCTTCAGGCGGATCTTGGACGAAAAAGGAATCATGATCCCAAAATGCCTCAACAGATCACGAGAACAAAAAAAATCGCCCCCTGACTACCCAATCCCAGACAACTCGTAAACGAGAGTTGTGAGGATGTCTCAAGCGAAACTGCCCGGAACAACAAATGAATTTGAGGATGTCTCTGCTCCCCTCTCCCGCGGCCGGAATTAGCTCTACCACAACAGCACCCCGCTCAGCAAGCTGTTTGGGGAACAACAGACATAATGTCAGCAACAGCTCGAACAAGTTTGGAAAACATCAAACACATTTTTAGGACAGCTAGAAGTGATTTTGAAAAAAAAAAAAAAAAAAAAACACAACAAAATGTGCAGAACAATCCCGAACAATGTCAGAACACGCAATTTGTCAGAACAGCTGAAAACAATATTGAACAGCAGCAAAAGAAGCGCTTGAAACACGTTTTGTTAAATTTCATGCATGAGGCACAATCACCCTAAATCTTGAATCGTTTGGCGATAATCGCAGGGAGCGCGTGGAAAGGCACCGACCGGGACGCCAAACACGCATGGAAAAAGAAGGACCCTGCTCTCTCGGGACTCATTTCCTTCATGGCGTGATGCTCCACCCGCCGCTATGCCCCAAGCTTGGGGGGAGGCTGCCGGCGGCAGTGATGGCTATACGCCCCCGCATGCCGCACTGGCCCATCGCACCGCCGGGGCCCGCCGCTGCCAGCTCGTCCAGGCACGCCGGCCCCCTCAGGCAGGGGGCTGCCGAGACGAGCACGCACTCGGGGGAGGAGGAGGAGGAGGAGGAGGAGGAGGAGGAGGAGGAGGAGGAGGAGGAGGAGGAGAAGGCGGAGGAGGAGGAGGAGGAGGAGGAGGAGGAGGAGGAGGAGGAGGAGGAGGCGGGGGCGGAGGAGGAGAGGTGGGCGCAGCTTCCACGGCGCCCCTGGCCCCCAAGAGCAGGCTCAGGAGGACCAGGGCGCCAGAAGTTCGAGAGAAGAGTCCCTCGCCGCCGCGCGCTCGCGCGATGCCGACCCGCCGAGGCGACCCCAGGACGGGGAAGCCCAGACAGGCATCCGACCCAGCCTGGACTACCGAGAAGGCAGTCCAGGCGGCCAGACGCCACCCCCGCGGGGACGAAACAGGGCACCACGGCAGCCGCCAGCGGCCGCCCACCCCCGGCGGCGATACGGGTTCGCACCCCGAGTGCGAGCCCGATCCCAGGCGGCGGCCCCCCAAAACCCACGCCAGGGGGCACCGCGTGCCAGAATTCCGAGGCGGACCCGCAGGGCCTACGGCCCTCGCTCGCCCGCGCGCGCGCCCGACGGCCGCACGGGCGGCACCGAAGGCGCGTCCGCCTCGTCCACGCGGAAGAGGCTCTCGCCCTCCACGTAGAAAACCTCGGCGAATCGCGGCGAAGCGAAGTAGGCGGCGACGAGCTCGATATCCAAGCCGAGGCGCTCGAGCTCGCAGACCACCACCCCCGCGTGCACGCCTGCCACGGGGTCCGAGGCCGCGAGCGTCTCGGCGAGGAAGTCCTCGGCGTCGACCTCGCCGGCGCCCTCGCCGCCATGGGCGTCAGTGCCCACGAGCTGCTCGCCCCAGCCCTCGGCGAACTCGAAGCCCACCGCGCTGGTAGCGACGCCCTCGGCGCCATTGGCCTCGAACGTCTCCTCGAAGCCGCACCCGGTCCCGTCGCCGCAGATGGACTCGCACTCGAAGAACTCGAGGCTGACGCCGACGACGTCAGTGCCCCCGAGCTCCTCCCCCTGGCACCTCAGCGAACTCGAAGCCCACCGAACCGGTTGCGACGCCCACAGCGCCCTTGACCGCGTACGTCTCCAAGAAGTCGCTCTCGGCCCCGTCGCCGTGAAAGGACTCGCACTCGAAGAAAACGAAACTGACGTCGTTGACTTGGTCCACAACCTCAGCGTGGCGATCCGCTAGACGCCATCCTGCAGCCAAGCCCTGCACGAAGATTTCCGCCTCCGAACCGGCTGGATCGGCGGCCTGCCACACACCCGGCGCCAGCGACCCCTCGACGAAGTCCTCGTTCCGACCGCCTGCCTCGGCCCCGAGCCGTGGGCCGTGCTGGGCCCGCGTCAGGTCCCCAGCCGCCGCGGTGGCGATGCTGGAGAGGTCGCCCGCCGCCGCGTGGAGTGCCACGTTGCGGCGGAGCCGGTCCAACCAAGAAGGTCGCCGGCCCCGTGACAAGGCGGCCAATGCAGGCAGCAGCGCCAGCACCCGGTCCGCCACGTCCTTGTCGGCGCAGAGCGTCTCCAACGCGTCGCGGAGGACCCCCACTTCCGACTAAGCGTCCGCGACCTTGGCCTGGAGCTTCGCGACCAGCCCGTCAGCCGCGGCCGTGCCCGAGCGGCCCCTCGGCGGGGGGGCCGAGGGGGAGTACGTCCAGTCGCCGCACGATCCTCTGGGGAGGCAGCAGCGTCCCGCGCCATCCTCGGTCCCGCGCGCGCCGAGAACACGGGCGGAACACATGGCATAAGCTAAAATGGCTACGGAGGAGGAGGAGGAGGAGGAGGGGGAGGAGGAGGAGGAGGAGGAGGAGGAGGAGTAGGAGAAGGAGGAGGACAGAGGAGGAGACGGAGGAGGAGGAGGAGGAGGAGGAAGAGGAGGAGGAAGAGGAGGAGGAGGAGCAAACCTCGAACTTCCAGGGCTGGAGGGTTTTGGAAGGGTTGCGCCCCTTGCCTTTCGAGCCTCTGGGAAGCTCCTCGTGTGTCCACGGCTGGATCCGCTTCAAAATAATGGCCAGAACGCACCACTGGACGGTTCGAGGAGTCGATCTCACCGCGTCAGGTAACACACATCCCGAGTACAACCGGTGCGGCCTACGATGTCTCCCCCCCCCGCGGAGGGAAAGGGAAGACGAGGGGACAAGGCCGTCCACGGCGACAGCGCATTTACGAACCGACCGAACCAACAGCGAAACCGAAGGCGACCGAGACCGACAGGCCGCAAGCAGCCTGGAAGGGCCATGCCGCGCAGCGACGACACGACAACCCACAAACACCGAACCGACCGAACGCAGCCGACTGCGATGCAGCCTGAGCGGCTGAACTCTGCGAACACCTTTGCTTGCCATCGCTCGCACGGCCATCCCCCGTGCATGTGTCGATTTCGGGTGTGCTTTTTGGGCTCGATGATCCGAAATGCTCGTCGATGATCCTCGCCGAGCAAGAATGCACACGTCCGAGCGATGCCAAGACACCCTCAAAATAATTCGCCAGCCCAGCGGGCCAGAGGCGTGCTAAGCTCTCCGGCAACAGGTCAACAACATGTGTAATTCGCGCGCGCGGCTGCCCCTGGGGAACCCCGGACGAAAAACAACCCGGCCGGTCCGACTCAGAGGTGGATTTTCCTTGTGGGCGTGGCTTTTAAGCGCCCCAGAGCGCCCCCAAAGGGCCCCAAAGAAACCCAAAGACGGTCCCAGAGGGCTCCGAGTCGCCGACGGATCGGTCCAAAACGCCCGAGGTAGCCTCCAGACGGCCGCAGACGCCCCCAAGACGCACAAAGAGGCCTCGAAACAAACATCGCCCCATTCCTTTCGGAAAACGTGTTTTTTTCGCGTGCGACGTTTCTCGTCTTTTCGGCTTCCCAACGCTCCAAGACGGTCAAAAAGATCCCCAAAACTGACCAAGACGGCCCAAGAAACCTCCAAGAGGGCCCCATGACGGCCCCAAAACAACCCAAGAGGCGCCCAAGAAGCGCCCAAGATGGCCCCAAAACGGCCCCAAGAGATGTTCAAGATGGGGACCAGGAACCGAAAAGTCCCGCCATCAACCCCAAGAGGCCCCCAGGACCCCAAGAGGCCCCCGGCACCCCAACAGGCCCCAAGAGGCCCCAACACGGCCCCCAAGAGGACTCAAAACTGCCTCCCCGAGGCCCCCTAGAGGCCCCAACACGGCCCCCAAGCGGCGAGGCAATGTGGGCCAGCGGATGAACGAAACGACTAAATAACAAATGGGGTTAACATAGACTGTTGTCGCTCCGCATGGAATTTTTGGATCCGCGCTGACCCCCCCGCCCCTTGGCGCGCAGAGCGCACCGGGGGCGGCGCTGGAGGCGCCGCCAAGAGGCTACGGCGCGGATCCAATGAATCCGCGCGGAGCGCCAACATTTTTTTAACTTCATGGCGACTTTCTTCTTCTTCTTCGACAGAGAAAACATGCACGCGACCGGGCGACGCCAAAACGCCCTTCGGGGGAGCAGGAGGAGGAGGAGGAGGAGGAGGAGGAGGAGGAGAAGGAGGAGGTGGAATGGGAGGAGGAGCAGGAGGGAGAGAAGGGGGGGGAGGAATACGGGCAGGAGAGGAAGGAGCAGGAGGAGGAATAGGAATAGGAATAACCCTGGGGCGCCGCACCGTCCATCCAGCCTGCCAGGAGGGCGCCTAGGTTCTACTACTGTAGGCCGAGAGTGCCGCCTGCGCGCTGGCCAGCGCCACGGTGGGGCTGGCTCGGGCCCAGTGGCGCACCCAATGGCGCGCAGCCAAGCGGCTGCCACCATCAGCACCGTCCTCAGGGAGACTCTTGCCTGAGCGACGCACACACGAAAGAGGGGAGGGGCAGAGCGCCAGGCGCCTTACCACTCCCCCAGAGGGACGAGGAGGAGACACCGCCCGAAGCACCCTCAAGGGAGAGGAACCAGCGGCCCACCCCTACCTCGAGAGCGGCCTCGAGCAGCGCCCTTTCCTCGCCCCTTAGCCCCCCTGCCGCGGTTGACAGGGGGTCGAACATTTAGTGCAACAGCTGGCCCCATTTCAGAGGCATTCTGGATCGTGTACATAAGGGGGGGAGGGTCGGAAGGGGGCTCCAGGCCAGGAGGAGGAGGAATGGGGCGAGGTAAAAGCAAAACAGGAGCGGGCGGAGCGGCTAAGCCTCGCACACGACGAGCCGCATCCTCGGAAAGAAGACCTGCACGCAGAAGGCCGCGCGCACGGTCGCTCTGGCTCCAGTCGAAGCCTCTGGAGCGACTGCGAGCACAGCTCACTTGACTACGTCCAGCAGCCGCTGCGCCTCCCTCACGAGCACCCCACGAGGCGCTCCTCCAATCGTCTTGATGCCGCCCTCGGCGCGGAGCGTCGCTCTGATCGCCTTCAGCAGCCCGATTGCTTCTGGGAGCTCTCCTGCCAGCAGGAACTGCACCTTCACCATGTCCTCGCCCTCGGGGGACTTGGTCTTGACCCTCTTGGCTTTGCAATAGCGGATCGTGTCCGCGAGCTCCTCGGGATTCGTGATCTTCATCACGGTCTGCACCCAGAAGGCGTGGGCCGCCTTCCTGTCCTCCGCCAGGAGCGTGTCCCCCTCGGGCTTTGTCGCCGCCCCCTGCACCAGCGCCGTGAAGACACGAAGGTGGGGCGCGCACAACTTCTTCTTCGTGTAGGTCGGATCCTGCTTCTCCTTCTCGCGCTCCTCCTGCGCCTCCGAGTTGAAGGCCTGGTTCTCCTCGAGCATGAGCTGCACGGTCGGGGAGTCGACCTTGCACAGCCACGTGTCGTACACCGCGCCGATGAGCGCCCGCAGCTCCGCCTCGTCGCTCAGCACCAGCTTGGCGAGGACGATGACCAGCTCGTCCAGACTTTGTTTTTTTCCACCTTTGGCGGATCCGCGGGGCGCGCCGCTTGGCTTCTCTCCTGCCTTCGGCTTCTTGGACGACGGCGCCTCCTCGGACAGCTTGGCCATCCAGCCTGGGCGCGCGAGCGTCGACATAGCTCACAGTCGCCTCACCAGCAACAATATAACAGTGTCGGTGTCGATCGTAAACAGAAAGCTCTCGAGGAAAATGAATACGGACATGAAACTGATAGCTCTTGAGATCAGATCCGTGAAATTCGCAAAGCAGACATTGTAGATCATTAGGCTCATGCAGGGGCTCTTGAGTTCGCCCCCCACCCGAATAGCAGCAGCCTCTATTCATGGAACCAGCCAAATGACGACTCGCCGTGACGGTGCTAGAGAAGACCTCAAGGCAGTTGGGGCACTGGTTGGTTTTGCAGAGGACGTGCCCGAGAGACCGAATCCCGTGATGAAACCTCATATGATTAAGGGCCGCTTTCTTATCGGGTAAAACTTCACCACAGACTTGTTTAGCTCCCTCTGTCCCAATAAATACCCCACATACCCACTTCACCCCGTCCTCCTTGAAGCTAACCTCCTCCTCCAACTCCATGACAGGGTCCTTCGGGATATACTCTGGTGGGGGAATACATACGGTGTGACGCCGACGCTTAAGAAGAGAGAAATCTATTTTTCCCAGCGACTTGCCGAGATCCTCGTCCCACCAAAGCGCGAGGAACGAGCCTTGCAAGCGGGCGAGCAACTCCTCGCCCTCTTCCAGCACGTGCAGACTTTCCAAGTCTGCGAAGAGAAGTCTTGCCCACGGGTTTGCGTAGGCCGTGAGACGCCCCATGTAGTCATACTGGGGACCAGGGCCAGAAGGAAGCTCCGCAAACAGAGCCGCGATGATCTGCACGTGGCGGCGCGGGAAGCGCACAATCTGCACCAGCCAGTTCAAACGCCTAACCCGCAGCTCAAGAAATGTGGGGTTGAGCCTCCAGTAGTCCAAAACCTTCTCATTGGGTAGAGTATGTATGTGTGATTCTCCTTCCCAGGAGGCTCCTCCCCTCATCGCAACTCTACAGTATTTAACAAAGACAGTATCAATACGCTTACACTGGCCCTCGGTCACCAGGAACGCCTCGAGATTTTGGAGCCCAGCATTTTGCACCCCCATCAAGACAGATCTGCGAAGACGGAAAGCGACGTCCTTGGTCGACCAGAACTTGCCCAGGGAATGGAAAGAGGCCTGCAAAGCTGAAATACGTTTGGTCACTTCCACCGAGATCACCCCCGTAGCATGTATCTGTCCTCCCAGCACCCTCAAGTAAGGAACAACCCCTCCATCAAAAAAGTGCTCGCTGTTCCTACGTAACACACGATTAGCAGCAGCAGAGCCTCGGCCTACCAGTGAGACGATGGTGTTCTGCTTAGCCCGATTCTGAGCCCACCCACCGGCAGCCAAGGCGGTGTCCAGCAACTGATTGGAGTGCCGATTCACAGCACTCAGAACTTCGAGGGCCGCGTCCTCTCTCAAAGATGCCGCACCACCTCCGATATGAAGCTTGGTAAGGTCGTCAGCGTATTTCGTCAGGCTGAGATCGACCTCACCCAAACCTAAAACAGGACACTCGGCTCGAAGAAATTCTTCAGAATCAAGAGTCTCTCGAAGTTGCTCACTCCACTCTTCTACTGGATGTGAATATGCCCTGCTAAAGCTTTCGACAGCGCACGGGCCCCCCATGAGAGCACCACAACGAGGCCTGACGATAAGTTTACGATCTCGAGTCGGAAGTTCGATAGTCGCCGAGCGAAACCGATCCAAACCATACTCCCAATCTTCTAAGTCCAGAAGCTCCGAGTTGACCCTTTCCAATAGCCTCCAAGACGTCGAGGGGAATGCATTGCTGAGGTCCTTGTTGGACCAGGTAGTACTGTAACCTCCTAGCCGAAGACGGTGAGACATAATCTGCATAACCAACATGGCACCTTCCTTCCTCCTCCCCCTCGCGAATCCGTAGTCACATGGTCCCAGAGGCTGTGGTTTGTGCCTTCTCATAGCTCCAGAAAGCCACGCCTTTCCCAAGGGGTCCAGCAAATGTATAACCCGTTTGCCTCGGGGTCCAGCAACACTGCTCTTGGGTAAAGCACAGCCAAAACTACGGTTCCACGAACGGGGAAAGCGCCCTGCAAACCTAATGCACATGAGTCCACGCTCAAGCGCTTCCTGCAACGACGTCGCGTCCAGGGAGAAGTCGGCGCCGAGGCCGTGCCTGCACTGTCTGAGACCAAACTGCGGGTTCGTGATCATGCCCCAGATCTCTACAGGAACAGACTAAGGGGGGCAAGCACGTCGTTTAGGCGCATGTTCGAGATAACCTGCAATAGAACCAAGATCAATCTTCGCTTCCACTGAAAAAGCACCGTAATAGCCCTCCTTCCTCTCCTCCAGCTGGCACTCGTTCTCCACCACCTCCTCCACCTCCATCCCGCCCTGGGGTCCAGGAAGTTTCCAGACGGATAACCATTCTTCAGCCGAAAGTGCAGCTCCCTGTAGATGTCTGAGATTCCTGCCCCGAGGGGCCTTACCGCGGCAGGCGAGCAACCTAATGAGTCGGTGCGCCTCCTTCAAATTTCTGACCCTCCAGGCCTCGTCTAACTCCTCGGTGACCTCCTGCCTCCACCTCCTGTACTGCCTCCTCCTCACCGTGGCGCATTCCTTACTGCACTGCTTGAGCTCCTCCTTCAATTCCTCCTCCTCCAGATCGTAGACTGCCTGCGAGAGTCGTAGCCTGAGTTGCAGGCGACGAGCGAGCAGGGCGCGGCGTTCAGCAGCTTGCTGACGATACAAGTCCGAGCAGCTGGCTAGAGATCCACTAAAGATGCTTGATGCCGCCTCCTGCAGCGCTGCGTTGAACTTCTCAAAATAACTGTCAGGCTGGCCGTGCTTGAGGGCCTCTCCAAGATCCTCGGACAGCTCCTGAACCTTCTGAGAGGCCTTCTCCAGGAACGAGTGGCGACCTTCTGAGAACTTCATCGCCTCAAAATTCCAGAAAACGCGTGCAACGCGATCCTCCTGAGGGGGCTGGAAGTCCCATTTCAAATTGCAGTGCAGTGGAACATGGTCCCTGGGGTACCTGCTGGGGATCAGCTGGTGCTTTCTCATCAACTTCATCAGGGGGCCTCCAGAGATCTCGAGGGACGCGGCAGCAGCAGGCCCAAAGATGTAGTCCACACGACTGGACTGAGACTGATTGCCAAACCACGTAGGCTCCACCTTCTCTCGCAGGCCTAGCAGAACATACCCGTACTCCTCCATCAGCTCCCTGACCTGTTCTCCAGCTCCCCCCACCATCATCTCCTTAGTGCTCAGCTCCTCCCTCACGACGCTCGTATCCGTATACCTCCACCTTCCCTCCTTCAGCCCGATGCCTAGCCCGTCATTTAGGTCCATACTGATCAAAGGCAGGACCCTGGTATGGTGAGCCAGCTCAGAAACAACGGAGCGAGTCCCAGACGACCAGCTTCTCGACAGTAGCAACATAGTTCGGACGGCCGAGCACACCTCGAGGCCGTGGCGGGAAGTAGGCGCCAATCACTGCCAGGTCGAGCCCTGCCCGCTTGACCCTCACGCCCAAGCCACGGCCTCCGAGTGCGGGTGGAGGGAGCCAGTGCCTGACGATGTGACTTTCCCTCAACCCGCAGCTGAACGTCATAGATACACCAGCCGAGCGATTCGTGTAGGGGCCTCTGCCATATCCTGCTTCGAGCAAAAGTACGCCGTGCACCCGTTTTTTTTGACAATGGGGAGTCACGAGCAGCACGAGCCTGTGTACCCACCAACACCGCCACATGGAAGGACTGGGCGGTGGTGACGATCACCTCTTCTTGGCGGTCCTGATTGTTGAAACTCAGGGGATTCCAATGCAAGAATCGAACAACTGACATGAAGACGGCCGCGCTCGGCAGCCTGACCCGCTGGCCAAAAGGAACGTTGCGGTAAACAGAGTGTGTGTACTTCATTAGATATCGAAGGTGGGAGGTGCAACAGGGCGCGCTCGCGCCACCTAGCAGGAGGAGGAGGAGGAGGGGGAAGACGAGGCCCAGTGTAAACCCAAGAATCATCAACGATCTTGGAATGAACCCTCCACCCAACCTCTCTTTTTTCATGGGTCCCCACAACGTTTCATTTCCATTGAAGGTGTCTCGTTGAAACACAACCGTTTGAAGATCCAGAAGCATTTCAAAACACTGCTATCCGGGGGATTTCAACGCCAACTATCAACCTGACTGCGACGCCTTGACGATCCGAAATCGTGCCAGAGCGTCATTTACGGGACTCCAGCACCGCGAAGCAACATAATTGTTGCACCCGCAAGCTCCTGAATTTTCCCCAAATGCTATTTCTGGCACGTTGATCATAGGAATCCGTGAAAATATTGCAATTGTTTTGGAAACGAATGCGCACGGCGCTGAGGCGAACACCACAATTTGAAAAACCACCCGCCCTCAATCCGCGAAGTTGTTGCACATTCTTTCAGAAACCAGCGAATGCGCGCGGCGCTAAGGCGAGAGCCACAATTTGAAAACCACTCGCCTTCAATCCGTGAAACGTTTGCAAATGTTTGAAGCGAATGTGCGCGGCACTAACGCGAGAGCCACATGTTGAAAACGGCCCGCCCTCAATCCGCGAAGATCTTGCCACTTTTTGACACGGAAGCCCGCGGCACTATGGCGACAACCACAATTTGATAGCCACCCGCCTTCAA